AACCGGATCTTATAAAAAGACCGGATCTTTGTAATCGATAAACTATTACAAGAGTGTACGATGGAATCATTAATGAAGAAAGCAACGATTTTTCCCGCGAACAATATATATATATATATATATATATATATATATATATATATATATAGGGTGAGGTTCTAATAAAAACCTAGAAAACTAAAAACCAATCCTAACCCTCCAATCTATAACATCCAATGGTCAAAATTGAACAAAAAACGCATGCATTTATTTCAGCACATGCATTTATTGCTTATTCTCTTTAGTGGGCTTTTTGTTCAATTTTGACCATTGGATGTTATAGATTTATTGCTTATTCTCTTTAGTGGGCTTTTTGTTCAATTTTGACCATTGGATGTTATAGATTGGAGGGTAAGGATTGGTTTTTAGTTTTTAGACTAAGTAGGTTTTTATTAGAACCTCACCCTAAATTTATAAACCTCAACCCTCACCACAACTTCGGAGTTTTTGGTATCAGAATTGGTATCAGATTAACACAGGTTCAAACCCTACAAATTTATTTCAGATTTACAAGTCTCGCGAAAGGGGTCCCAAATTGTGGGGTTTAATTAGAGTATAATATTATAACCGCCACCGCAACTTCAGAACTTTGGTGCAAGTGAAGGAGAGGGTTTAGAATCAAAACCCTAAATTAAAAAGATTACTTTAAAAAAAAAGGAACCCATTTGGACCTGGGATTCGAAAACAGAATCAGCAAGAAGTCTATAATTCTCCTCCTCGATATACTCCCAGTTGTTATCGTAGGCTTTGAGAAGGTTGCTGAGAGTGGATCTCGTNGTTGACAGCTGATTTCGCTCTCTGTTCCATTCTACTTTTGGATTTTTCTAACAACGGGAAAATAAACAGAACTAAAAACCTAGAATTTTCCAAGAAAAGGAATTCTCTCTCTCTCTTACTCGACCAAAAAAAGGAAAGAAACAGAGAGACAGAGAGGAAAGAAGGATCTTGTACCTTGGGATGCTTTCATGGAGTCAGACGTTTTTGACGGGCGCAAAAAAATCTAGGGTTAGGGTTTTGGGCTTTCTTTTTGTTTTTTCCTCCGAGATTCTGGGTTCAATTGATTTGTTGGCACGAAGAAGTTCAAAAGGGAGGGAGGGAGGACTGCGCTGACGGTTTCTTGGTGTGGTGCTCCGCGGGAGTAGGTGGGTCATCGGTTAGTCACATGCAGGATTTTCTTTTTGCATATAAGTACGTGAATAAGAGAATTTTTAAAAAAAAAAACTTTTCCTTTTATTTATTTATTTTCTTCTTTTTTTTCCTTTTCAGGGAACTTCCCACAATCCTTCTAACCATGGGGTATCAAACCTCCGGGAGTGGCAAAGGGGCAAACCCCCAAAGTATAGCCTCGAGTATTCTAAAAAATTAAATTTCTATGGATGCTCTCCAGAAAAGTCGAACACGAAACCTTAGAGTACTACTCATAGACAGTTTACTAACTTGGCTAGACTCTCTTGGGTCAAATTTAAAATATCGTTATTTATGGATAGATATCACATGAATTGACAACTTTTAAGCTTTAGTTGCTTAACCACCAAAATCAAAAAAATTGGTGACTATTTGTTTTTACTCTCTTTAAATTTGGTGATATTAAATTATAATAAATAATTCAAATCATCAAAATTTGTATTTACCTTTTACTAGGGGAAGTATTTTTGTGTGGTAGACGGATGGAAGGGATACAATAGTTTTAGTTACTCATGTTTTGCATATGTAACACCTTTTAACTTCTTGCAAACTACAACTAAGGGCCTGTTCGTTTGCCTTAAAAAATGGGAAATCAAAGAAATAGAAAACTATTTCTAAAAAATGGGTTTTTGAATTGTTTGGTTGGCTAAAAAAAAGGAAATCAAAAAAATGGAGATGAGATGAGATGAGTTGTCACATTATTATTGGATGATGTGAGTGATTTTTTAAGAAAACTAGTTTTGATGTTGTTCGGTTGGCGAAAAAAATAAGGAAATGAATTATAAGAAACATATTTCCTGTAGTTTTGTTGTTTTCTTTTGTTTGGTTCATTCTTAAAAATAAGAAATAAAATGAGATGAGATGAGTTGTCATTGTATTATTGGGTGATGTGAAGAAAGATTAAGAAAAGTGTTTTCACAACTTTTTGGGATGAAAACAAAGAAATGAAATGTTAATGAGATGAGGTGAATTGTTATAATATTTTATTCGATGATGTGAGTGATTTGAAATGATGAAAAGTAGGGGTGGGCAAAAACCGAAACAAACCGGTTCAACCGAAAAAACCGTCCGAAAAAACGGATCGAAAAACCGCCCGAAAAAACGGATCGGTTAACCGAACCGAATTAAATGGATGAGAAGAAGTCTCTAAACCGCCCGAACCGAATTAAACCTGTTTGGATCCGATTTGAACCCCTGAACCGCCCAAAAAAAACCGAACCGAATTCTTAAACAAAAAGTAGCTGCGAGCCTTGGGTGTGAAGAAAATTTATGGCTGAATGTTTAGCATTTAAGAATTGTGGGGTGGAGTTTATACTAACATATATTTGAGTACGCTGATATAGTTAAGTGAGATTTCCGTAAATCAATACAAGATGTTGAGGTTGAAGGATAAATTTAGTGTTTTGGTCAAATTTCAGTGATAACATGAATACAGCTTGCTTTTTTTTGTTTGGTTCATTCTTAAAAATAAGAAATGAAATGAGATGAGATGAGTTGTCATTGTATTATTGGGTGATGTGATCCAAGATTAAGAAAAATGTTTTCACAACTTTTTTGGATGAAAACAAAGAAATGAAATGTTAATGAGATGATGTGAATTGTTATAATATTTTATTCGATGATGTGAGTGATTTGAAATTATGAAAAGAGATGAGTTGAGTGATGTTTGGATGAAAATAATATTTTATTAGATGTGATGGATGAGTTGTTAGATAAAAATAATATTTTATTAGATGTGGTGGATGAGTGGTTAGATAAAAATAATATTTTATTAGATGATGTGGATGAGTTGTTGGATAAAAATAATATTTTATTGGATGTTGTGGGTGAGTTTTAGAGATAGAACTGAAAAAAATGGATTATTTTGAGATTTTCACCTTTTCCATTTCCATTTCTTGGTTTTTAGGAAATAAACGAACAGGCCCTAAATATTATTTGATAGGGGGGGCTGGATGTGGGAACAGCGGGAGCAAGTGATCATTTGAAATGAAAGCCTTATTATACATTACAGTGATGGGCATGACATGACATGTGAGGAGGATGTAGCTAAAATTTCAGTCTAGTAAATAATGCAGGAGGAAGATGTGACATTACTCATAAAATAATAAGATCTTTGTGACTTTGTTGAGATTTAGCCATATTATTTATATAAAAAAAAGGAAAAATTGCTTCAAGGCCCCAAACTTGAAAAAACAATGTGCAACAGCCCCATGTACTTTTAAAGTTTGGTATAAACCCAAAATACACTCCAAAACTTCATTTTAGCCCCTCCAGCTCACTCAATCCTCAGAATCCCGAATTTACCCTTCCCGCCCACTCTGCTACAGCCATCGTGCGTTGGTAACGGTGCCGCCCACTCCGCTACTATCGAGGCGCTCTCTCTCTCTCGTCTCTCTCCCTCCCGCACTCTGTCTCTGGCTTACTCTCCGGCGAAAAACCAAAATCCGCTTCTAGGGTTAGGTCGAAACCAGTTCGCAGATGGAGAAAAAATCGGCGAACGAATACGAAGTGGTTCACCATCCTCCGCCGCCGCTGCAACGTCAGGAACATGCACCAATGAACGACGAGCGAGAAGACTCGCCGTCGCCTTCCAAGACCGACGAAGATCCTCCCTCGCCTTCCAAGACCGACGAAGACCCCCTTTTGCCATCTGAGACCGACCGTGGCACCGATTCTCTCACATCCTCCCCTGCCTCCAAGTCGTCGTCCACCCATGCGTCATCATCAGGGAATGGCAGCACCGATGAAGCCACCCAAACGTTGTTGAGTTTCCAGATGGGTGTAAGGAGAAAAAGAAAAATTACAAGTTCACTAAACGCACCACAGAAATCCATAAAGAAGTAAGATAATGTTATATGTTATATTTTGTAATTTACATAGATGTTAAGGGATTGAAGTTGAATTGTGAACTATATGCCTGGACATTGGTTGAAGGACATGTTAGCTGATACCTTAATGTTAAATGTGAACTATATACCTCTTATTAATGTTAAGTTTGGCTGTTAAGTGTTAAGGTTTCTTATTAATGTTAAGTTTGGCTGTTAAGTGTTAAGGTTTATAGCGTAACTGTTACAGTTCATTGTTGCATGTTAACTATTGGATGTTGGATGTCAAGTGTTGTTGATGTTAAATGTTTAATTATAATACAGGAAAAAGTCAGGTGCTGCTAAAATTAGACCCACTGCAAGTTTCTCCGCATATTGTAAATTTATGAAAGTCCTCGAACCGAGAATGCGGCAGTGTCATTGGGATGCATACCAAGGGTGTACATTCCAGCATTATGTAAAGTTTGGCCCCCCAGCAAAAGATCGACCCACGCTGGAACTTGTATTGAGACACTATAAGGGTAATGAAGTGGCGTTTTCTCTGCCCGATGCCGAAAGTGGGAGAGAAAAGGTTGTTAATTTTGATTTGGACTGGGTGCATGAACATACAGGTTTCCCAATTGATGGGGAAATAATTTACAATAATAGAGATCCTTACCCTAGGCTTTGGGTGGAGTATTTTCATAAACGTTTTACTAGAAAGGGAAAGAAATCAGCGAAGAATATGCGGCGATATGTGGAAGAGCTACTGCAATCTCTTGTTGAATCAAGGAAGAAGAAGGATATTGAAGATTTTGTGTTACTGCAGATACTTTATCAATGTTCATTGATGTGGTGCCCTAGCAGTGTCCAAGGCATCCCAAGGCTCTTGTTCAAATATGTTGATTCAATTGAAAGAGTGAGGAATGTGGCCTGGGGGAAATACATCTATGATCAGACGAAGAAAGGAATTAAGATAGCCAGGGAAGGTCTGCACAGGTCAGGAATAAGCTATGTACCTGGATGCATGCCTTTGATCCCTGTAAGTTGGATTAATCTGTGCATGTGAACGCTTGCTTGTTTTCTGTCAACTTACGTCAAGAAACCATTAAGGCTTACTGGTTCATGTTAACTATTCTAAGGATCTTGTTAACTATATTTCGGTTCATGTTAACTTTAGTGTTTCCAGTATTAAAGTTGGTGTTGTCAGTGTTAACTATATTGCAAGATGAGTTGTGTTAACTATATTCATGTTTAAAAGATTAGTATTGCATACTAACATGTATTAATTGCTTGCAGCTATGGTATTATGAAATGACGGGGATTAAAAGATATGCCTTGAGCAATAGATCCAAACCACCCCTCACTAACTGGGTGAAGATTGGTGAGAAGTATGGATCTTTTAGAAATAGAACAATAGTTGCCAAGGCTGCAAAAGCTAGCATCCAGGTTGTACAAAAACCAATAGCTGAAATTGGCCCATCCGATGAGAAATATCCAATCAGAAGGCCATTGATGAGGCTTAGAAGGGAAGGGATTGTACCACAATTACCAGTCGTACATAGGGAGGCCAAGAAAGCAGCAGTAAGGAAGAGGAAGATTGAAGAAGAAAAGAAGGTTGAAAAGAAGGAAGAAGAGAAGGAACATGAGAAGAGATGGTCAATAGGTTTGGTAAGTTCTAAGGTGCTAAATATTATCACAAGAATACATAACATGTTAGCAACAATAGATAACATGTTTTCTACAACAGTTAACATGTTACCAACAATAGATAACATGTTTTCTACAAGTGTTAACATGTATGCACAAGAGTTAACATATTAGCAACAAAAGTTAACATGTTTCAATAAGAGTTAACATATTATCACAAGAGTTAACATGTTAGCTACAAGAGTTAACATGTTACCAGAGAGAGTTAACATGTTAGCAGCAAGAGTTAACATGTTACCTATAGATGATTGAAGAACCTTTAATTATCTGTGTCAATTGTGGACCACTTACTGTTAACCTTTATAAACTTGATTTTAACTCTTTGTTATTTCTAAATTATAGATAATGTCAAAAGCCATTGATGAGGCTTTCGAAAGGGAAGATGAGATTGAAACGTTACCGGTTGAGGAGCAACTGCAATTTTGGAGAAATGCTGCTAAAGTAAACCAGAGACTTTGCCGTACACTGAGGGTCTCGAAGAAATTGTATTGTCAAACTTTCATGGACGAGATTCGTAGACTTAACGAAAAGGTTAAGGGGTTGGACGAATCTTGTGACATAGTAGATCCCTTGATTTTAAAGAACAATGTGAAGAAGCTTATTGCACAGCAGCTGAAAGGAAACCCTACAGTGGAAGAAGAAGAAGAGGACAACTATGGAGAGAGAGACGACGTCACCATGAATGAAGGTGTCGAGGAAATGGGCAAGAACGAAGAGAGAGAAGAAGTGACCAAGGATGAGGAGGACAAGCAGATGGTTGAGGATGAAGAGGGCTCGAAAGGAGAGAGAGACGATGTTACCAAGAATGAAGTTGTCGAGGAAATGGGCAAGAGCGAAGAGAGAGACGAGGTGATCAAGGATGAGGAGGACAAGCAGATGGTGCAGGAGGAGGAAGGTGTGGTTGAGAGAGTTCCACTCAGCGAAGGATCGAAGAGGCCGAGGAAGCCGGTGAGCAAAAAATATGTGGGTTATAGGAGTAGAGCTCCAAGCAAAAGAGCAACCAAGAAAGGTAAACTGGTTAGGACACCATTTACTGAGGATAAGAAACCGAGGGCTAAGGGATTGAAGTTAAAAGATGGTGAGCACAAAGATGAACCCATTGTTGTTGGTGACACCCCAAAGAAAATAACAGTTTACCATGACGACAGTGTTGGCAAGTGGGATGTGCTAAAAAGCACGTATTTAACAGATGTGGATCGTGCTGCCTTAAAAGAGGTGAATGAGGGTATCCCTGATGTAGGCACGTTTAGCTTACGAGTGTTAGATAGCGCTGGGGCTTTTGTACATAACTACAGAATACCAAAAAATGTTGCAGAGAAACTCTCAGCTGAGGAGAACAAATGGCTCGAGCAGTACTGCAAGGAGAAATGTAGCCCGTAAGTGCTGATTTCAAAATGTAAAGCTTTCACGTTTAAATTTAAGCAACAAGGGTTAACATGTTAACCACGAGTGTTAACATGTTAACAACAAGAGTTAACATGTTAGCAACAATAGTTAACATGTTATCCACAAGACTTAACAGGTTAGCGACAAGAGTTAACATGTTATCCACAAGAGTTAACACGTTAGCAACAAGTGTTAACATGTTATCCACGACAGTTAATATGTTAAGTAATTTAATGCTAACTCTTTAATATTAAATGTGAAACTGTGTTTTTTGCTTGTTATGTTTTTGCGTTTAGATGTTACTTTTCATGTTTTAAATTTTAACCCTCCGTAACTTATTTCTTGTTAAGGTACGTATATGTCATAACTACTGATAACAGCGCAATTACATACCCGGATCTACTGTATATGATCCGCGGGGGAAGACTTGATGATAAAGTAACAGAGGCACTCTTAGACAGATTACGGCTATGGCTGCAGTTGCCAGAGAACGCTGAATTAAACAAGCAGTACGGGATTGTATCTACATATTTCTGCGTAAGACCAATCCTCATATAATTAGTTAACAGATAAGCTCTTATATTTAACATGTTAACCCGAATAGTTAACATGTTATCCACAAAAGTTAACATTTTTTCCACAAAAGTTAACATGTTATCTATCAGAGTTAACATATAGCCACAAAAGTTCACATGTTATCTACAAGAGTTAACATGTTAGCAACAAGGGTTGACATGTTTTAAACAAAAGCTAACATGTTTTCCACAAGAGTTAACATGTTTTCTACAAGAGTTAACATGTTCTCAACAAGAGTTAACATGTTCTCCACAAGAGTTAACATGTATCCCACAAGAGTTAACATGTTCTCAACAAGAGTTAACATGTTCTCCACAAGAGTTAACATGTATCCCACAAGAGTTAACATGTTTTCCAAAAAAGTTAACTATATGAACTTGAATCATGTTCACATATTGAAGGCCGCTATTTCTTAATGTGTTAATTTTGTGTAACAACATTCACTCTATGGAGACCAGGCTCATCTGCGGCTATATGAACTATATGAACTTTATATACAACAACATATTACCGCTGGCCGATCAATACTCATATTGCCAATTGTTCGTCATGACCATTTACATTATGTCGAAGTTAGATTGAATAAAAATTTAGCGTTGCACTATAGTTCGGTAACTCCCGAAGCTTACCTTGAGCCCGTTAACAAAATTATAAACTTCATGGACCATATGAAGGCCGCATTCGAACTGGAAAAGGTGTGTAGGGCATTTAAATATAAGGAAATCCCATGCGAGTCTCAAAAGGGAAGGTACATTAACATATGAACCTTATTTTATTAAAGAATTTTCGTCTCCAAAACTTACCGTTAAAATGTATTTATGTTTTGTTATTTGTAGCTACGATTGTGGGATATACGTATACCTTTATGTACGGGCTATCCTACAAAAAGATGATGTGCGGCATGTTACGCCCGCCGATGATTCGTCTGCGGTAGTGCGTGCAAGGCTTGCTGCGGAACTAATAAAAGAAGGCTGGGAATTCAGAAATAGAAAGGGCACAATAGCCGTGGAGGCCCCAGAATTGAAAGCGCCTGCATGAGCCGCAAATGTTACAGCCAAAGGAAGAATGCTATGTAGATAAACAACTGTAAACAATCTTCATAATTTTCAGCTTGTGTAGTGTATTAACAGCTAATGAGTTAACTACAAAAGTATTACATACACCCAGATATGTTTCAGTTCATATAAACAGTTAACTACAAAAGTATTACATACACCCAGATATGTTTCAGTTCATATAAACAGTTAACTACAAAAGTATTACATACACCCAGATATGTTTCAGTTCATATAAACATGTTACCAACAAGGGTTAACATGTTATCAGCAAGGGTTAACATGTTAACATGTTATCAGCATGAGTTAACATGTTCTCAACAAGAGTTAACATGTATACCACAAGAGTTAACATGTATCCCACAAGAGTTAACATGTTATCCAAGAAAGTTAACATATTTCAACAAAAGTTAACATGTTCTCAACAAGAGTTAACATGTATGCCACAAGAGTTAACAAATTCTCCACAAGAGTTAACATGTTTGCAACAAGAGTTAACATGTTTGTTACAAGAGTTAACATGTTTGCCACAAGAGTTAACATGTTTGTCAAAAGAGTTAACATATTAGCTATAAGAGTTAACATGTTTCTAACAAGAGTTAACATGTTATCCATCATGTTATTTACAAGAGTTAACATGTAATAGGTGTAGCTTAATAACTTACCAAGAAAATTTTATATTCGGAAAAGCTAGTCCCCAGCAGAGTCGCCATCTTTTATTTGTGGGAAAATTGCAAAGAAGAGAATAAAGAAAATTGATTTGTATTCCTTTGATTCTGATTACAATTTGATTACAAAAGAGAGGAGAACGAAATTGGTTCTTCCTCTTTGTTTAAAACTGGGTTCTTCACGGTGGCGATGGAATGCCTCCTTCGATTGCTCGCGTCGAAATTGCTCTCCGTTGACGATCCGATGTTTTGCTTCACTGGAACGATATCTTCTCCTCACGATTTGACGTTGTGGAGAACTTGCGTGGCAAGTTTAAAACTCTTGATGAGTTGATAACTCTGATCGAGTTTGAACTCTTAAAAAAAGAGTTGATTTGAACCGAAGATCGGTTGTAAGCCAAGGACAGAGGCTCCCTGTTGCTGAAGTTGAAGATGATCTTCGTTGGAAGATGATGTCGATCTCCTCAAAAGCCTGTCTCCAGTGGTCGATCCAAGCCAAGAAAATCCAACCGAACCCGAAGCCCTCTTACAGTTCTTGGAACTAGAAAATCTCCAACCGAAAGGACCCCCTAACTCAGTTGAGTTTTACCCTATTTATAGGGAATTAAGGGGCATAACCGCCCCCTTAATTCTCTCCATAATGGGGTGTAACCGCCCCCAAATCGTGGGAAACGATTTTAGAACCGTTCAGCTCATGTTGAATGAGTCAAACGCCCACGTTGGCGTTCAGGACCCTAACTTCGCATTTTAAACTGGAGACGCGGAGTTGGGTACCCGCAGGGCGTAGAAAAACGCGAGGGTCGACCTTAGCGTTTTTGAT